AGAAGCACAGTCAACTTTAGTATACACTAACACCACTTAAATAAGGCTCATGCTGAGACCAGAAGGATTAAAATGTAGTTCACAACTGTTTCTTCATAAACTGGAACAAACTTTATTTACACAATCTCAAGATCTATCATGGCCAGCTACATAACAAGAAATGCTGCATGTAATTATAATCGAGGGTTATCGGATTATGAGGTAAAAAGTACACTAATAAGTTATGTTGACTATTTAGTGAATAATAATTTTAGATTTAGATAAAAAAAGTCCATTGTTCCATACATCTTAACTTTAACCGACACAATCATAGAATTATTTATTCAAGCTTGATAATTAAAACTATGCATTCTAAGAAATGGCTTTATGCCGAAACCTATGTATTAGTGTCTATTATATATTGAAAGGTTTTTTTGATACATCAAATAACGCAGTTTGATAGGTGAAAAAGAACCGAGTTGCCTCAAAAAGGTGAAAATATTAAATAGGCCACAGTAACAAGCACTTCAATAGTGTTCACCGTTTAAGAGATTTGGTTTAATAAATAACCTACTAATATATTCATCAGTAGCTTAAAATTTACATCAAAAATATATTTCTTTTTCTCCCATGTCTTTCACAAGCATCCCATATTCAAGAATCGAAAATAACTTAAATCCATACAATTTCCAAGTCTCATTTATTTTTTTGTAAAATACACATCAAACTGTAAAAAAGGGAATCAGAGTTCATTTCGTGTTCATTATGAGTGTACATGATACTGCGATTTGTTATTTTCCTGAAAAAAATTGATTAGATGAATAAAAAGGGAAATGTGAACACTATCGAATGGCCTTTATTCAACTTATAATACGTAAGATCGGAAGTATGTATGAATCTAATCACTATTATCATCACTGAAACCAAACATACGGAAGTCAACTTATGAGATTTTTAATTGAAGGTGGTGATAACAATTTCGATAAGGTAAGAATTTATTGTAAGAATGGAGGTTTACGGAGATTGTAGTAATTTGAATAGTTGATCTAAGCTCAACCATCACTGAAAACCTTAGATCGACTAATGAATTCAAATACTAAAGTTACTACAATCTCCACAAACCCCCTTCTCATGATAATCATGTGCTTACTAGTGACTGGATTCAAAATATATTTCCTGGAGTTCTAGTGAGAAGCCATGATCAGTGGGGTCCAATCCGTGTCGGGTAGAGACAAGTATCTACTTTACACAATGGAAGAATGGCTGCACAGGATCATGGGTCGATTGAAGTTAGGCATTAACGCAGGTAGGTGCCGGCTCAGAAGTCTAGAGGTCGGGTTCGAGCCTCACACGAGGGCTCGTGGATGCGCACTACTGAGAAGTCCCATACTAGGACGAAGCGGCCGTCCAGTGATTCCAGGTTTTGAATGTTGGTTGAGCTTAGATCAATTCATGAATCCAACCATTAAGAATTTATGAATAACATTTAGAAATGCAGAATAACAACTCAAAATAAGGAGTATCATACACATCTTAAACGTGTGTGGTATCATATGTAAGCTTTATAAAGGTGGTTTAATATGGAATCAAACCTCTACATAATACTCCCGTTTTCAATAGTCTTTCAACTGATTTAAGTATTTTTAAATGCTAATAAATTGACACAAAAGTACTACAATAATTAGACATTTTATTTCATTAAACATATCATAATCAACTGCTCATAACTTTAATAATTGAGAATCAAATTAAACTATTTAGGTGTAGTAATTAACAGCAATACTAGCAATTAAATTGAGCCTTTTGTTCAACAGTAAAAAAGTAGTAAGCTAACTCCATACTCCCTAGAATGTAATAGCGGTTCCTTTTACTGATACTATCAGGAACATGAAACCATCTGTTGGAGATATTTTTTGACTAACTGGGTTTTTTTTCTTTCTATAAATATATATTCCTTTTCATAAGACTTAACAAATAATTCAGTAATCTATTTTGATAGAATTTTAGATTGTGACTATATCCCCCTATAAAGTAGAATTAATGACCGTACGGGCAAACGAACTTACGTTCAGAATCTATTTCGTTTGATACAGTTCTAATGGACGCATAAAAATAAACAATGTGAATGAACATTAACAGGTCATTATGCACAGCAGTACGTTATGTAGCCCAACATCTACTACTTACATTAGTATTTAGTAAACAAAATGATATAGTCAGTTATTACCACCAAGTATTATTTCTTGCTTATTATCTCTTTTTAGTACTTTTAAATTTTAATGATGTTAGCAATCCGATACCGGGACCTCAGTTTATGTTGCATTTCTGCATTTGTTTATCATTTTTTGTGCAAGTTATGACATCTGAGATGATTTGTTTATCATAATGCAAATGACATAATCTCATATGTTGTAACTCAGTCGTGTATATAATTAAAATACAGAGGTTCTCCCTCATAACTAAATAAGGTTTCATTTAATAAGCCATGAGCTGCTGTTAAGAGGAAAACAAATGTATTATTCCGTGGTGGGCTGTATATATTAATTCACTTAAGTTCTGGATTATATAGACATTAAATAACTGATAAATTAATGTCAACCACAGGTCACTCAAATTTACGAAACACTTGAAATTCTATATACCTCATTATTATGTCGTATTTGTTATATCCTAGTAAAGATTATATTATAGGTAACTTCTGAGATTTATTGACGGACTAATATTATGTATATATATCTTCCTCTTATTATAAGCTCTATTTCGACCTTTTATTATGATATGATTTACTATCCTCAAATTATGCCAACTTTATTGATTAGTCTCCCACAACCACCGCCATTTTTTATCTTGATCATGTAAAAATGTTAATTCGTATTTTATGGCGTGATGTGGTTTATTTGGTTGGTATATGAACCAGGTTTGTTTGAAGTAAATTATTCATATGGTGGAAGCAGGTATTGGTGTCCTGGCCTCAACTGGCAGCGCTGGGAGGACAAAGGACCAATAAGGAGGTTAGGCTGCTAGTGCGCTCGGACGTCATTGGTTTGGCACAGTGCTAAGATTGTATAATTCGTCTTCTGGTTGGCGAATGAGTCACGTGATAGCTAGCCGGGCTTAAATACACAGCAATATTAATGAGTGGGTGATGAATAAATAAGTTCCAATCAATAGTTTGTTTCCTTACTTGTGTCAGTATAGGAGTCTTGTTCATCGGGATATATAACCACTGGCAATCATATCATAGTAATGGCAAACACGTACACAAGTATTTATTTCAAGTCAGAACACTGATATCTCGGCTTTATTCAATTCATTACACTTACCGTAGCTGACGATAACAGTCGACTGATAAAATTGGAACTAATAAATTAGCCATTAAACGGTTGACTTACATTTAAGAAAAGAATTATTGATGAGACTATGATTTATGGACGAACTAATCAGATTTAAAATAGCAGATCTTAGATTTTGGCACGAAATTCGTCCATCCAATTAGCTAAATAGCCTTTTGGCATTTTAGCTGATGTCAGTTCGTGATGAAAACCCTAAATCTAGTTCCTAACCCTAATCATTGATTGTAAATTACAAGCTTTATTCTTCACACAGGTTTATAAACCTCATTTAGTTCAAATAAGTAGGTGGACATTCTGAAGGTCACTTTAGGGTCGGTCATATGTCGTCCATATATTGTAGTCTGGCCACGTAGACGAATAATATTATAGCAATGAAGCACCCTTTAGTAATATGACTATCATTTACAGTTGGTTCATCACAAGTTATACATACTTTCTGTTTGAGCAATGAACTTGGAGACAATGTCTTCCACCTGTAGACTTATTAAGGTAGATGAACATTTGTTCAACATGTATTGAATAAACTACGATTATTAATTATGCTCTTTCTTGACCATGAAATACAACACATCTATTTACTATAATCATTACTCAACTATCGTATTGAAATTATTGATTAAAACACAGATATTTGACCTGGATTGAATTTACTGATTAGCCACATTATCCTAGAAGGACTATATATAAACAACAGTATATTGTTGTACTTGTAACAATATGAAATGTAACAAAATCTTATATCGGTCAAGGTTAACAAGTAATTTGAACGGAAAAAACACAAAGTTCAAGGATGCACATAAAGTGCAAGTTGTGGGTAGCAATAGAATCTAATATTCACGTTTCACCCTAAATGTTACTAGTCAACTGGATATTATCTATATCCCAGGTTTAGTATATAAAATGGATATATTTATGCAATCTATTCAAGTTGCACATATGCAGACAAAGATTGATCAAAATCCAGTCCTGAATATGAATAATGAGATAATACAAGTCTCCATCAATAATGTAAGAAGTGAAGCTGGGTAGATTGGTTGCAAAGTTGAAATTATGCTAGAAAAAATTATGAACATGAGCTTTGAGAACATTTCTTTTAAGTAGTTGATTATATACTGATTAGTAGGCAATATCATTCTTCAATTGTGACTATTATCCAACTGGTGCATACTGTGCTTACTTGTAAGCTCAAAATTCTAATTGTCCTATCGCTTAGGTTTTCTTTCTAGCTGAGTTAACAAATTTTATCATATTTGATGAGCACAGCGATATACTCATGAGCACCAAGCAAATAACTTACCAGCTACACACTAGATCAGCGTGAGGTGCTTGATGCTTTTAGTATTGGTATCAGGATGTCTTACTTATTATTTCTGAAATGTCTTCGATCTTCTAATTTAGGTGTATCAAGAAACGGGTAGTACTGGTATCCCATTACTGTGATCTCCATAGTCACTTAGCACATGTTTCTTATCTTTTCCTAGCAATCAAGTTGTGCAATGTTGGCAAATGCTGGTAATTAAGAAAATCTGGCCAAGAACAAGTATTATATCACAGAAATCCATTAACTCTGTCAGATGAGACTGATTAGATAAAAATCAATGCAAATCTTAAATAACTTAGAACAAAAGAGGTTTTTTAAAGCCCATTAACAGAACTTAATTTACTTTTTTCTGTTTTAAAGCGCATGTATTGAATTTTTTAATTACAAATATAATTTTCATTACGGATTGATATTAGTTGAAGAAGGATTGGAACCCAGGAAATCTATTAAGGGTATTAGTTCTTCCAATCACAAAAGAGAATTTCGTTATTTCCCAATACTTCCATTTGATCCACAGGAAGAAATTGCTATATCTGCCTTAGTTATTGACTCTGTGCACCAACGATTTGTTGAACATGCACAAAGATCGCTAAATTCAAAACTTATAATATTTAAATCATATAGAGTACTTGGTTGATAAAATATCATTTGTTCGATGAAAACTAATTTTTATCCATCAGCGACGAATCTCAGTTGCCATATCATTGAAAAGCAGGGAGCACTGAAAAACTCCTTTATCTAGTACGGGATTCTTTTGCAGTGTACATTCACAAACTTGTAGGAAATAGAACCCAAGTTCACAATTTCTGGCAGCAAAAACTGTGGAGTTAATCTGCAGTGGTTTACATCCATAACTTCGATTTTTCACAACATCGCGTAATCATTTCCTAATTTTATTTTGATGAAAGAGACTGAATAATGTTTTTACTAATTCTTAGTGAAGCGAGTCTTGACTCATTTGAATGATTTCCAAAGCTTAGTATACTGTTGGGTTATTGCTATTAGAGTTGCATATTGGATCCACGTAGCATATACACAGTGTTTTCAACATTCTTTTAAATGTTCAGCGGAAAAAGACAATGAAAGCTTTACAATAAAAAAATACTCAGTTCATAGATATACAACACCACGAAATGCATTCGCCTGAGCTAAAAATATTCTGGTAATTTAACCTTTTACCATCACTCTACAAAACAAACTGACAAAAAGGTTTACAGTATTTGTTAGTATAATACTGTAGAAAATTACATCATTTAATCTGACGAAATAATAACAACGTTAACAAGGCGGTTGATCTTAGTATTCAGCACAGAAAAACAAACATAGTAAACGCATTCCATCTAGATATTTTGTACAGATATTTCAATTCACGCTAGCTAGACTTCAGAATATAAGAAATTTGGACAAGCATATATAAAAATGAGAAACAAATTATAGATAAGAATTAGCCAACAGAAGAAGTCATTATGTACAGTGGACGCATAATTAAAACAAAACACTATGATTATGTTTGTGGTAAACATACAATCTGTAATAATTGGCCTTCAACAAAACAATTCTCTCCAACATGTTGTTTGAGTGAACTATTTAAATCAAGTAATGAATTTGAAACAATATCATTTTGATGTTGACTACAATCCGTAGCAAAGTATTCATCTAATTCGTCGGATAATCGAATTAAACCGTATTTCTGTAAACAGAATAGAAAAATAGAATAATAAAAGATTAATCAGAAAAATGTAGTTTTATGGAAGATTTTTGTTTAACAAAATCCAGACGATAAAAGTCAAGAAAATTAAGGACCTCACACAGCAAATCGTTATATCAGTCATAAAAAACGTAGAGCGTGGCACAAATGTGTGTCGCCATATTATATTAGCACGACAAGATGAATAGTAAAATAACCGAAATAATGTAGTAGCAAGGATGAGAACGATTAAGCATAGAGAATATTATTTGAAAAGACAGCAAGAAAAAGTAAGGAATACTAGAGCTTAAAATATGGAAGATTGAGTGAATGAACTTGCACCATTATAATCGACTGTGAGTCACGTCACAGAACCTCTTCAAGCATCGATTGCACGAACTCAAACTAAGTAGTCTGCATCTACAGTCAATGACTTCAGGATCTGGTGTTAAGTCTTGGTTCGGCCTCCCCTACCTTTCTTACGACCTACTTTTACACCAGCGAACAGACCCGTCGAGATAAGCGGCGGTTAGACATATGTAATACAAAACTTATTTAACTAGATAAAACACAGTTTGATTAGTTGGTGATATGACATCACTGTCATTCTATTAATCTTGGATTTTATTAATTTAATGAACATACACATGTATATATGAAGTGTATTAAAATGAATAGTGGTATAACTTATACAACCTTTAACTTTCTGATAACAAACAATGTGTAATTCAATCAAGAAGATCAGGGTTATTCATACGTTGCATTCAGCATTATTTCTTTATCATTATAACACTGAATTCCGATGAATTCTCATTTTGCAATGTATGTCACTTTAAGGTCTATCATCTATGTCTTATTCCTAATTAATTGATCAAACAGGTGTACATACAATCGCAAACTAATGTGAATGTGTGCATTCAATCTGTACACGTTTAATAACTTTTTACCATCTCTATTAACTATAGTCTCAACAAATTGAAATATTTGAAAAAAGGTTTGCAAAGAAACCTGTTTCAAAAGTGAAAAGTTATAATATCACTGACTCAAAACACTATAATTTGAATATGCAAAATATTGACTACAGTGAGACAGGATTAATAAATAACCAGCATGAAACCTAATGATATCATTATAGCTTCATTTAAGTAATATGATTGTACATAGTTTATGATAGTCTTTCTGATAAATGTCGACTATCGTTCAACAGAAGAAATTCAAGAATGAAGAATTGATTACTAAACAATATTTCAGCTAGTTTCTACTACAAACCTATATAATCTGTTATTAGAAAGGAATTCTCATTCCGTCTAAAATAAACGAATAGATTCGAGTCAGTGTAAAGCCATAAACAAAACTTATTGAACACTTCTTGAATTAAGCAATAAGCATATATATGACGTTAAATGATTCACACAGTTTCGCAGAAATAAAATAACTCACTTTATCACGGGGTAAATGAAAGTGTTCACAACCATAATCCAGAATGCATCCAAGTGGCCAACGCTATAAGAAAAAAACAGGATGAAAGAAAGTTTAGGAATTATACTGCTCAAAAAATATATAGCGAAATAAATTCTTTGAATGTAACTCATCAAATACTCGGCTTTGAGCCACATAGTGTTTGAGTCTGAAGGTCAGTGATATTAACCGGCTCTCCTCAAATTAAAGTAGATGATAAAGTGTTAGTAGCACTGAACAACTGTTGCTTGCTAGTATAAGACCTTTCAGTACACAACTGTGACCTTTTGGTCACATATCGAATGGTTAATCTTTAGGTCGTGAGGCTGTAATCCAATGGTTCACATTTGTAACTAATAATAATTTCTCTAGTGACTTTCAGAAACGGGAGCAAGATTCGAATGATGGTCGTGCTATAACGTAAATTGATTAAAATCGGGATTGCATCACTGGACACTGATCAATGGTTTCGACGATCAAGGGTTCGCTGCTAGACCTGAAGGTTCTGGATTTGATCCGTAGTAGCGTCACAGGCGCGAACTGTTGAGAACTCCCAGCTTAAGACGAAATAGTTATCTAGTGCTCCTTGGTTTTCGGAGTTATCAACTGAAACCGATCCATAAATGTAACAAATGAAAGAAATCAATTGCCACAAAACATTTTAGAATAAGCAATTCATGTATTACTCGACTAAAATGCTTCATGAAAAAAGGATTTTAAAAAATTAGAGTAACCACCTTTCCAAAATACACTGAAATCATATTATTTGTTGAAAGAACCTCTGGCATAACTGACAAACGAATAACAAATCTCTCTGATTCAGGTAATTCTCTAGCACGTTGACCACCAGGCAATGCTTCCATTTTAGTTTTTAATAAAATCAACTTCGCTTTAGTGGCGCGGGCACGATCGCTTACTGGTTTAACTGATAGTGTGTCATTGGCTTTCGTTGGAATTATCGTATGTGAAATAGCTAAAAGAAACGAAAATAAGGAAATACATATAAAACAAAACATTTACACAGTAATATCATATTATCATGTTTATACAATGACCATTGTGTGTTGTGTGGTATATGACGCAATAAAAGGTATTAATGTATAAATGTTTAAATTTTAAGCAATTAATCAAACATTCAAGCAACTACGCTTCAGCTTAAATTTCTATTTGAGAAGACAGATGATACTAACTCTGTACTTAGATAAAATATATAGATTGAAATTGATATATTTATTTATTCAAGTAAGATAATCATATGATTACACACAATTGGCTGTAATTAGTAGTTTTTAGTTAAAAATATCATTACTACCAACTTCGTTCTTTAAGAGGTGATGAGCAAAAGGTTAAACAGTAAAATGTACAACTACTCAAATTGGCACGTAACTACAGATAAAACGATATCTTTCAAATCTAACATTCAAAACTTTTGAAAAGTCCCAAAACAACTCTCTTCAAAGTCTTTAGAAGCCCATAAAACGCCAGGAAATGTTTTGTTCAATCATCATCGAATAGAAGCTCCTCAGAAACATCTAGAAAAGGAAGAACCATGTTTCATACCCTTGATTGGATATTTGCCTATACTGTCATTATATACAGTATTTTGCCAGAAATTTCTAGGGGTTCAAGGTCATATGTCACTCAATATCCTCAATTTTCTGTACATAAACTAACCTTGAAGTAAAGCTCTAACTGGCACTTCGCATCTTTTCTCTATCGCTTCAGTCGACGTGTGGAAGTACTTTGGGGTTATCGGAAGCGGATAGGGAGGTAGTCCCGATAGCAAACTTATCAAGAACAGAAGTCAACACTCTTGAAAAACGCAAGTTTGCACGGTATATTTTTAATATTAAAAAAACAGATTATTTTAGTGAGGGAATGGAATACTTTCCATGTTGCACAAGATAAACTTATATTAAGACGTTTGTGCATTACGGTGAGACATTAGGTAATTGAAGTAATGAGAATGTAATAGGTGGAAAAAATGTAAGGCTTACCAACAATTTCCCCTTGAATGTATCATAACCGAACTACTGAGAAAGTCGCATTATTATTAACAAGCAGATTCAACTAACTAAACTTATTGATTGAATTCTTAACTTACCATTATATTTTCAATGCAGTGATATGTATTTTAAGTTGTTAGAGAAAACCTAGGTTCCATACTGGCTGGCAATTGTCAGAAAAACGTACCTGAAGGATTTAAGAAACTGATACTTCATAGAGTTCGAAGCTGTGTCACCCAAATAGCACAGTTATTATGCTGAGCGACACGAGTTTGAATCCCACAAGGAACAACAGTCCTTTCAAGATTGCACGCACATCTTGTTGATGAGTATTAACTAGTACAAAACTTAGGTTTTTCTGCCGACTACTTCCAACCAACTGACATCTTATTATGGTTCATGTGATGTCGAGTCACCAGAACTACTGGCCATATGACGATAAAATCCAATCAGAACTAATGGACTAGACAGATGAAGCGTTTATAAATACACAGCGAATAATCAACTGTTTATGTAAAGTCCTGTAAACTTAACTTTCATACAACAGGTATATGCGATAAGGTGGCTAGAAGTGAGGCATTACTAGGTGTTTAATAACCTTCATTTTCATTCTTAATTAATTATCTGATAGATGATGTATAGTTATCATAATGTTTTAGTCAGATATTATGTTAATTATTTATGTCAATGGAAATGTACAATTGATGTAGTTCTATAATTGTTAAATCGATTGCTAGTTAGTGCTGTTCTGGCAATTCGTTTGATTAGGTAATTACTAATTAAAACCTTCTATTCAAGAAATTTTTAGACTGACTTCAGTTTCAGAATTTACCAATCAAACACTTTTTTACTACTAACAACAAGCTTTCTTTAAAATCGAAAATTAAATCTCTTATCAATCAGTAGTAATGAATATGAATGAATTATTATATTTACTTATCTTCAATATTTTAACAACACAATATAATAATCATTTAAGTTGTATAGGCTAGGTTGAAAATGCGGATTTTGTGATACTGGTTAGGAATTTTAAAACCATTGTGGATATCCAGAATGTTCCTCAAAAAAGGTACAGAGGGAACCTGAAAACGCTAGGAAACATTTTATCCAATCAGCATTCAATAACAGTCTCTCGGAAACATCTAGAAAGTGAAGAGTCATGTGTTACATTTATGATTGGATGATTACCTATCCTATTAGTGTGTTAAGTAGTGTTCCAGAAGCCCAAGATCATCCAAAATGCTATAAATACCCTCAATTTTCTGTACATAAACGAACCCTGGAGTAAAGTGTTCCTTTCATATTTCTCACTGTTTTTCTCGTGTTCAAGTAGTCGTGTAGATTTAGCCTGGGATTATTAAAAGAGCTTAGGAAACCAATTCCAGTGTTCAGTCAGATTTATTCAAAACCATCCAAAATACCTATCCACTGTGACCTAATTTTCCAGATGACGTTAACGTGCGATAAAAATTAATTTCATGTGGTAAAAACGAAAATTTGTTGAAGTTCACACGATTAACATTACCAGTGGTTGGAGATATTAGATGACAGGGTTCAGAATCGGTCAGTGGTGAATATGGATTTACTTGTTGCCTTATAGTGGTGCATTCTGAGTTTTTGAAAGTATTTCACATATTTTGTTCTACGAATTAATTTTTTTTCCAATTTATATTTCTTCTCTCCAATCTTATCTACTACCACTAATATTGTTATTATTTCTTATACTTTAATAGTTTTGTCCTGACAGTTTCATCTTGCTATGTTAATGTATGGTGATTTAAACCGGTGTATATGTTCTTTGACGCTTATAACTGACTCAAGAGAAATTTATTTAGATGACTTTAAGAAGTATTATTACCTGTAATCACATTAAAATGGTTCAAGCAAAACTATACATCGATGATTATAAAATATAATTTTAGGGTAATTATTTCAATGTCTGATTTTTATTTATTTATTTATTATTAATAATATATAATAAAGATTAAACTAACCATTTAATGCAGTACGATCAACAGTTTTAAATGGTTGAATTTTATCCAGTTGATGAAGTGATTGAGTTAAACTTGAACATTGATGAACCTCCTTTTGTTTATGACTTAAAAAGAGTACAAAAATGATGAAGATTTTTAAACATTAAGTTTAAAAAAGAAAACATTATTTGCACTGGATAGTGTCCAAGTTTTAAATAACAGAATACATATATAATTTTGGTGAGTGATCCTGATTTTGATCGCAAATCATTTGTTGATCTACTTTAATAATCGGTCAGTTAAATCGTATCATTCAGCTTCGTTTTTCAACTGACATTCCACTTATTTCTTTTAAAAACTACAAATCTTGTTCTTATGTAAACTCTCCTGCGCAGCAAAGAAATAAGAGTATAGTTAGCACGTACACGATTTTAATATTTCACTAGTTATACATTTCGGTCATTTTATGCATTACGCAATCTTTCAGATCGTAACTCTTATTTGTGTTTCTCATCTTGTATGTTGGGCTGCATTGCTCTGGCATGTTTAAAGCAGACCATTTCAAATGAATTCAGACGCTTGAAATGAGGTCTATTATGAAAATTACACTATAATAAGTAGCACTCATTCATTAAATATAAATGGGAAAATAGCCGAAAGTGTCGGGTATAACATATTTATTAAACATTGGAAACATTCTGTTGAAATAATTTTGTTTATTTAAAAACGGAAAAGCATATAGAGGGATAACACACACTAACCTGGTACAAAAATTTCCATAACATCCATCACAGGATAACAGTACTAGTTGTCTTTCATTACATAAATGATAATCGCAGATATTATCATTAGCATCATCAGAACGAAATTGACTAGACCCAGAAGAAAGAATAGTTATAGGAATTAACAATAATAACATCAATCTAACCTTGAAGATTGGTGACATTTGTAAGTTGAACTTGAAATTGGACAATTATGTGCAGTAATTGAACTATGAATTTTACTACAAAATAAACGGAAAATTATTTTTGTCTTCTCAAAAATAATAAATGAATGGAATTAAATTTCCCGTAAACTCAAAGGGATGAGCAAGTAAGTTATTACGTATAATTTCTTCACTAAATATTAGACTTCATGGTGTCGACAAATATAAGTAGTATGTAACATAAATCGGGAATGGAAGACCTGGCAGCAGAAGGTCAAGATGATCGAATCGACGTGGATGGAAACAGAGAGTAATTTTATGGCAATGAAGTTTGAGACAACTGATGGAAGATTTGCAAATGAAGTACTGAACGTATGGTTTTCGCGTTTGATGAAAGTACTCTGTAATTTTATGTTAAAATAGGATTAGTCTTCCCCACCTGTTTTCGATCACAACACTGTTACTAAAATGTTAACCTGATTTTATTGATAATTGGATATGCTGTCTTAAAATTCCACCTATGTGTGCAGAGTCTGTTACTAGACGTAATAAATAATATATAAGTGACTGATATGAACTCTTTCTTAATCGTAAATGGTTATTGACTTGACTTCTTGGTATATGATTGGTTGTAACCAGGATCTGAACTATCATTATATGAACATTTGTTTCGACTATCATTTTTCCTAACCTGATTGACCTCTCCCAATTGCGCAACAATTTTCCGCAACGAACAAACCTATCTTTTTGTCGAACGCGTCGTAGAACATTTCCATTCGTATCAATGCTTGTAGACAGTGGTCGATACAGGATTCACACATGTGTTCTGACAGTTTAAGATTATTGGCATACACAGTTGATTAGCTGAACCAGTTGTTAAGCACCTGACTTTACACACCAAACAATTTTATCTCGCTGTTCTAATGAGATATGCTAACTTGAACTGATGCATACATATACCAGGTCCTACGCTGTGTATGAATGAAATACATTACGAGCGCTAAACATAAGTGAGAATCGAATTCGATTTTGGAATACTAATATTCACGCAGAAAGTAAACTGAATGGAACTTCTGTCTGATTTAAGTTGATAGTGTTACGCGTAGGCCTTGGTCTAATGATTTCATGCTTGGAGTCATTTTTGAAGTGAAAAGAGATGTGAACTTTAATATCAAAATAAATCGAAGTTGACTGCTTTAATTAGATGCTAGATTTAAATTAAATGACAATCCCGTAATCCTTGGTTTTGAAGTACTTTCAAGGTTGTTATGAAACTACCCTAAAACTAAATGAAAGCCACGACCGTTGCTGCTACCTTGATGTGGTGGTCGGGTGTGCCTATTGTGATGAACCCATCGAGCTATACTGACTGGAACAATCGTTCCTCAAGGTCCTACCATGCCAGACAGGTCGGTTGAAGAGCGGTAAAACTAAAAGCAGCAAACACAAAGTCCGAGGACGAAGTCGCACTGCTGACTGTACGGAGCTGTGATGGCACTAAGATATTTCCCTCAGACAACCAGCATTACAGCGATGCTGTCTTGCCACAAAGGAGGGGTGAGGTTAGAAAAGGTTGACCCTAATAATGCACACCTCACCTTATCTCAAGGATATCCATCTTCGGCGGTAAGGTCTCAACAAGTACGGAGCTAACAAGAAAATTACCCACAAGAGGGTCGTGTGTGACCGGCCTCAAGTAGTTGTCCCTTGAACACTGCGGTCACACACTCAGGTCAACTAGTTTAGCTCCAGCCCAATTTCCTTTTTAGGTACCCCCAGAAGAACCCTTCCACGAAGTGGGCAACCGAGAAGTGATAACCACCCTTATACCTCCAATAGCGCTCAAGATCACTGTGTTCATAATCAATCTCCTTCTTCAATTCCTGTTATTCCACCTACGTCAACTTCCAATTCCAAATTTCCTCTTTGAACTTCGTCCTCATAACCGACGATTATAGTGCGCGAAGCACTGTCCCAGGTCATTCGCTTGACCTCACCTAGCCAAAACGGTGATCCGACGAGATCCATCCCCTGTTTATCTGGTGACCTGATGGCAAATTCTCATGAAATAGTGGGTGCAAACATAGCACTAAGTATGCAAGCAGAACAAACACTATTAGAACGGATCCCAGACATAGTACTTGTAGTAGGTGACTGTTAGCGGAACATAGACTGGATTAAAGCATGCTCAATGCACGATTGCTTTGGTGCACGCTGATTGGCTAATTCTTATCCAATCAGCACTAGTCGATAGTTGGAGAATACTCTAGAATCTTCTCATGTAAAAAACAAAATATACTGACGTTTTCTCTATTGTGCTTCTGACTTGCTTCTTACTTCCATCTAACCTTGTTATTTGGAATATAATCTCTTTCTTGTTCAACCGTGTTTTGATTTGGGGACTTGTCGAGTGAATCGGTGTCCGAGAATACTAAGCAATAGGAATAGTTGGGTCATAACCGTAAGAAAAGAGATTTATAACAGTGACTTTAATGCCCAAATAGGTAGCTTCAACCAATCAAAAAGACATTTAGGTGAGTACTTTGATATTCCGGCGCAGTAAACAGATAATAGTGACAGTCTGCTGCAACAAGCACTTATTTTAAGCAGAAGTAGAGACATTGTCTAAAATGGCAACCCGCTGCGCCGAACCAACGATGGGCTCAAATAGACCATATTGCCATCAGTCATCGTTGGAGAAGCTTGCTTGATAGAAGACTGTCATTTGTTCTGGAGTACATATTTAGACTTTGATCATGCTCTAATACGAGCACGCATTTGTTTGCGCCTCACTGGACGCAGAAAAACCACATTAAAAAGATCAATTATAATTGAACTCAGAGAAGAGAAAGCTAAAAGTAGATTCCAGGAACAACTGGGGTCACACTTAAGCAGTTCACTTATATTGGAAGTCTGATTAGTCCTAATGAGTTGATGTCTGACGAAATCTTTGTACGGATTCAAAAAACTGTTTGGCAAATGTGAGACATCCGTCTACCAATTAAAGGACGAATATACTGCGCAGCAGTTTGTTCTGTTCTACATTACGGATGCGAAACGTGGTCATCAAGAGATGATACTCGCAAGTTACTAGTATTTGACCACAGATGTCTTAGAAATATTGCTCATATCTGCTGGGATCATCAGGTAAGTAATGGTGAGGTTAGACTCAGGCTATTAGGATATAATGATGAGTCAATTGATGAGGTTGTGAATCTTCATCGACTGAGATAGTTGAGTCACATATTACGCATACACAACCACCGACTACCACGGCGCACAATGCTGACTGGTACTGGAGACGGATGGAAGAAAGTTAGGGGGGCTAAACCAAAACGTGGCATCAGTCCTTGAAGTCACTAACTTCTGATCTGGGTCATGCTAGTAGATGAAAACTATTTGGTTGGGGTCCAAGCGACTATCGTAACCAATGGTCGGAGACTGTGATGGACTTGGCTCAGAATCGACCACAGTGGAGTAGGTGTATACATTCTTTGTCTTTCCCTAAACTGAGATTAAAATTGCTTTATGCTTTGCTTTCGATGAGCTAATTCTTTCGTCATGTATTAGATCCGTATACACCATCTTTCTTTCATATATTACTACCATTGAAGTAACTACTTCTATGAATTTGGTGTTCATCTTGTTGTGCTAATGAGGTGGGACAACTTGGAGCGATGCATATATGTGCTTGGTCCTACGTTGTGACTGACTAACTAAATGAAATACTTTAAACTTCTATAATCTACGACTATAATCTATATAAGAATCACTTGATTGAGAAACGCGTTCATAATTAAATAAAAGGTGATAAAATACAGCAAACTGTTATTATCTTTAATTTATGCTATAAGTGACCTATGTCCATCATCGCCAAAATATTCTCTTTGAAATTTGCTAACTGAATGATGGGAGGAATACAGATAACTTTTTTATGGTAATAAATTACATTATGCTCAGTATTTACATATAAATAATGCTTGTTAACTGGATTATTACTCAATAGGTAAATTTAAATATTCTGCCGAAACTGCGTTCAATGAGCTGGGTATTAACAACATGGAGCTTTCATTGTCCTTGTGAGCAACATTGACACTTTTTCTGACATTGTTTGCACATTCATTTTGACTGCCTTTCACGTCAACCACATTTTTGACCTTATATTTACTTAGGATTAATTCTAATCGGAAAACTGGGTCTATTTCAACGCCTAATGATTGCTGACTGCACTAAGTGACAAATTTTCAAACACTCTCCCGTTTGCTTTGCTTCTAACCAAAATTTTAATGTTTTCCCAGTGGTCTACAGGTACTGATATATATATATATATGTACATCGTGGCGTTTGACAGACAAGTGATGTTTATTTACAATGGGATGAAGAGGGCTGATGATGTTTAAAGAGACAATGAAGGCTTGACGGTTAAAATGTCAAGATCAGAGAACTCAACTTTAACAAAATAATTCTTTTCTAACATCTTAAATATTCTATTTGAAGAATATGTAATAACAGGAATCGCAAATTCTATATCAGATTAAAACTTAGGACGTTTGGAAAATTTAAAAATTATTTGAAGTCAGAGTTTGATTTGGAGTATAAGACCATAAATAACTTACCAAAAGACACGATCACAGTGTTCACAATGAATGGGTAGAAAATCTGAAAAAGAAAAACTACTCTAGAACATTTTTTACTGAATTTATATATCATGAAACTATATGACGACACTTTAAATGGAAAAAGTTTACCAAGTGGTAATTTTATGACTTTTTTCGAACACCTGACGATAGAAAGTGACTTGGTATAAAAACTAACAACACATCACAAATTTCAACATAACGAGAGTGTTCTAAATAGCAGAAACACTTGTTGGTATAATGGTTTGTGCCGATTGTTGAATTTTGTGCTATACATTATGGAATGACCCTAGACACCGAAAATCACGAAGCACACCTCATTAAACGACTCAGATCAAGTCAGTGACTCCATGAACTGGTACTATTTTCCGGTATGGCTACCTTAGATTTTTTCTGAACTAAATTCCATTTAAACTAACACCACACGTTGGAGTATACGGTAACCTGGTATATGTAACAAGCGACTCAGTTAACTGGTACAAGTTTAGTTTGACTGAATGATTCGTTTTTACTCAGAATCTTGCAAATAACCTTAACACTACTTACTTAAAGGATTCACAGAAGACAGATTATGCTTTGATGAAATGTTGAATCAAAGAAGTACTTGTGCATTATTTAAACTCTAAAAGGCAATCTGAATAGTTGAGTAGAGGAGTATGATCCGTTTTTGGTTAGCAACCTAATAGCCCAACCACACAACAGTTTGTAAATGTTGGGCCAGTTTCCTGTTTAGAAGACTAGATTGTCTGCAGACGAGCCTATTGAAGCTGATGAACTACAAGTTAATTACATGTGATACGAGGTACTCAATAATAAATTTTTAGCATACAACAGAACCCAACTATGAGGATAATACCTTTCACATGATCCTAACGAAGACGACCAATGCCTTTACGAAAGACTGTTTAACAATTTTTTGATCAACCCAAGTTTTCATTCGTTTTAATATAATTCTGTAGTAAAAAAATGAACTTATCTACCAAGAAGTAAAAATATGTATACGGCTAAAAGTCTATTTACTAAGGTGCATACTACTCGTTCCAGGTCGCTGTCCACTTAATTTGGTTGTTATGAGGAGTAAGATTTTTTACAGGTGAGAAATTTAAGATTATTGGAATCTAATTTCAGTTAGATTAGTGAATACTTATCAAAAATTGAAATGATTCATTCAGCTACCTTATTTTTAGACAAAAAGCGAGGAATACTTACCCAACTGTCTGCAATCCTTTTCAGAACAATGAGCCCCAATATTTAGTTCAGTCATTATACCTAAAGAGAAGTGTGATGCCAGTTATATTGGCTGCACACAAATGACCATATATAGTAAAATCGAGAATAGAATCGGATACATGAAAAGACGTAAATAACTAAATTCCCACTAAAAATCTTATTAACTAAATACCATTTTCTATACTTGGCTTTGATTATTACCGTGCGAAGGGGTATTGATACCGTCCGAATTATTAAAGTGGGGTACATGAAAAGAGGATTGAACCTGAAATCTGGTCAAAACTTTAGCGTTTTAATAACTGGTGAACTGCTTAAGACGTATGTGTTTATGACATGGAAAGCAAGATTTACAAGGTTGATTGGGAAGAAAACTTATATTTTTTGCTAAAAATCCAGAAAAATTGGAGAGAAGCACTGGGTGGTGTTGTACAAAAGGGTGCATACTAAGGTTTATTGAAGCACTAACCATACGAAAATTCAAATCCCCTCTGTGTATTCAAAAAAATTGTTCTCATCTTAAACCTACCCTGGTAATATTAGCTTATTGTCCAGAGTGATGAGGTTTCAAATTGTTTTCACATTATTTCTTTATTATCCTTATTTCCTCTTATCCTCCATTTCTAGTCTAGTTGACCTTTCATTTTTGTATATAAATGGTCTTAACAAGTATATTTGTGATCAGATTGTTCGAAATGTATCACGCTAATGTATCATGGTTCTGATGATCTTCGTATTCTTATTACACTATCGAAATTTACTAAAGGGACTAATTGTTTTAGAACGATAATGATTTCAATGGATGGAAACTTTTCATAAGATTAGGTATACTTTTTTATCGGGTTATCAATAACTCCTGGGTAATATTTGGCGTTAAACGATTACTCATAATTTTATATGCAACAATTCTCGTTATAATGATCCAATTTGTCGAAAGTTCCACGAGGACAAGCGAGTAACTAACATATTTTATGGACTATTTTGTCTCAGTGAATCTAATTTCCAATGTGGATGTTCCTTACGTACCATATTACTTTGAGTAGCTGTCTGTAAGCATTCATGGGTAAAACTAAAATGGGGTGACTTTTTGCTTTGCACGGACGCAAAAGTTTTCAAGTTTAGAGATGACGACTGTTTTAGCTTCACATTTTTTAGAACTAGCTAGGTTTTTAAAGTTCATTTCCATTACAAACCTTCTTATAAGACGAGTCAGGTATCTAGTGTCGTTTCCGCAGTGAACGACATATTTTGCTTCTATTTATTTATTTTAACACAGATATTGGTACAAGGAAGCACCAAATATATATGTGCCACACAGATCTCATTTGATAAGTGTGAGGGCTGTGATACTGCTCGGGTGCCCAAACAGAAGCAGGTGGTTTTCTTAGGGGGCCACACCCGGAGCTTTCGACCTAAAGGTCTGATCCACAAGGCAGTGGAGCAATGTAAGGAGATGCAGTCCCATGGTGGCCGGTGACCAACGATTGGTTCATACGTCATTTGTTCCTCCGGGATATTGGAACCCATGTGCACCACTGATTTGGAATCAGGCTTTTTTAACTCCCTTGGGTGGATTCTCCATGTCTACCAACCCGGTTAAAGCGCCGGACATTCGCTTTTCGTCCTCTCAATTTTGTAAACAACAGTAATGCCACGAGAAGGCAGTGAGTAGGACATCCCTGGCAGAGGCTATATACGCGTGGCCATGTGAGAGCATTTCGAGAAAGAGATGACTCTCCCCACTCTCGGCCGTACCAGGGCATTTGGGGGCCTACGTATCTAGTTCCGTACAATATTATGGACTGAGAAACAAGTTCAGGAAAATGCATTCCCAATATCAATATGATAAGCATGAGAACATTGATGTTTCTCAGCCCACATCTTGACGTAAGGAAGTGATTTCAAGGTCTTAGTAGTGTAGTGATCTTAGTTGCAAAAGTTCTATAAAATTCGACGTGTTTTGAGTTAAATATATATTGGCGGGGTACATGAGCGCGTCTGCTTCAGAACAAGTAGCTGTTCCGTCATTGAACATTAGCTTGGTTAGTTAACGTAGAATCATAGTAAGGAAGGTAGAGAAGCGAAACTTAGAAAAGATAATGAAGATAGGATTTAAAATAAAAACGAAGGACTGGGGGTATTATGAATACAATGAGATATTGGGCGTAAAAGCTCCTTACCTTATACATCAATCCGCTATCCCAGGAATTTACGAACATAAATATCCAGCGTTATTTTAAGGTGGTATACTGAAGGAATTGAGGTCCGATCTGTAAAGACAGCGCTTCACATAGCACAAATTACGAGTGTGACAAAGCTAAATTGTACTTTAGCATTCCCTATTCAGTGAGAAACTTTGTTTAGGATTGTCTCGCAGATTAGCGTAAAGACTTTCAGGTTGGATTACTTGTTATGATAACCTGAGCTACTCAGTGTTGTGAACTGTGATGAGATATCTGCTTTTCTGTAGTTAATCGGAAACAGCTTCGACCCGCAGTGCTAGTTAGCCCACCAATGCTGAAACCTCTCTTATTCGCATCTTTTTGCTTGCTCATAGAGAACATATTCAATATCAAGAAAGGAGAAACGACATTGTGGGCTACAGGATGACATTGATTACACAAGCATGGGGACCTGATGACAATAAACTGAAATCCAGTCTTAAAGGCTTGGGATTCCTAATCTTCATATACAGATCATTGGAAAATTGGCGGATTGAATGTAGAAAGCCGGTAGGGTATTTAAATTTACTATTGACTACTAGAAATTTTCTGTTCAGTGGTATAATAAAGCTAATCTACTTAAACATTGGCCAATATTTAGTCCTAAAGTGAAAAAAAGTCCCATATTCATCTACAAAGTTAAGGAAACAAAAAACCTGTCAGTTTATTATCACTACATATAACAGACATGTCCTAAGTAAATAGGAGAATGGTGAAAGCGATTGAAGACACCTGAAAATGCTTGGGAAAACATTTACGAAGATTTAGCAGTTAATAGGCAAGTACAAAAGCTCATTGTCTTTTTTAGCAGGGGCTAGCCGCTTTTAGGCAGTACTCTAGTGCAGAACGCACTAACATTGTGCAAAGTTAAAAACGTTTTGGTGTCGACACGACTAAAGGCCCCACGTATTGACTATAGGGTTTTTAAACCTCTGGCGGCCACTGCACGGCAGTATGCAGTAGTTTTCAAGTCGTGACTAACGATGACTACTAAGTCATTGTCTGGACAACATGTAGCTCAATGCTATTCATCATCTATGACTCTGAACCTTGATGACCAATATGCATCACAATACACTTGGAAGTATTTATCGGCAACTGTCAAGTTTGAAACCATTCGGATAATTTTTTCAGGTCATTTTGAAGTTCTAAGCTATCACCTATACTTTTTATCACTCTCAATATCTTGATATCGTCAATATACATCAAGCCCGATGATGATAGTAAACGAGTAATGTAATTTAAATACAAGAGGAATAACACTTAACCCGCTGTTAACTTAGTCTAAGGCCTTTGGAGACGAATTTATTGCGACATTTATCCTTAATTTGCGAAGCTTTGTGTGTAACCCCACTTATATTCAATATCTATTGCTCATCTCTTCCAATAAAAAACGAACATAACTGACGGATTAGTACTCACTGTGCCTTTATTACTCAAATAAACGCTATCTCAGTCACCTGTTCATTTTTTGTCATCGGCCGTGACACGTAACGTTCTTGTAGGCCGCTCTTCACTAGGTTGAAATTTGGGCGCGGACTGTTATTTAAGAACACTTGTATCGCGTTACGCCGTCGGCGCCACCACGTGCAGAAGAGCCTTCGGTAATTAACTGAACTTATTTGTTGCTATTATCCAAATAGGAGCTTACACATAACACTTATTTCACAACAATTTTTTATCATTCCTGTGATTTGATATGCCATCTTATTGTAAGTGCTTTTTGCTACTGTTTAGCTTTATTCATGGACAGGCAACTCATTTTTTTAATCTTAATGTCTTTCTGTATGTTACTAATAAATTTGGGCATTGTTACGTCTTACATAATTTCTTTTACTAAGATTTACCGTTTTTGGACAGTTTGACGGACGAACTTTCCATACAATCTTCAGTAGTGTCATCCGTCCCCATTCAGAGTACGGAAACATAGTACTCTCCCCTTCACTCCAAAAAGACAAGGTCACTTTGGAGCGTATCCAACGGCGAGCCACGAAATCAGTTCGAGGACTCAAATCTAAACCTTACGAAGAACGCCTCCATTCACTAGACCTTTACCCATTAGAGTATAGGCGTCTTAGAGGTTATTTATTAATGGCTTATAGTGTTCTTAGCACATCTGGACATTCTCTTAAACACCTACTTAAGCTTAGTTCCAATAATAACCTAAGGGGTAACACCCAGAAACTGGAAACACAACATAGCAAAACGGAATGTAGACACAACTTCTACTCCTTAAGAGTTGTCAAGAGCTGGAATTCGCTGCCGGCCGAGCTAGTCCAAGCGACTTCTCAAGAGTCCTTGGAGAGGCAACTTGACCTATTCTTAAGAACCAAGGACAGCATCACACTATGATTTACCAATTTCTTTTCCTCTTTTATTGTTAACATACCTAGGTTCTTGCCTAGAGGATTTGGTGATCCCCTGCTACTAGACACGGAAGCCTGTTAAGCGAAAGCTTCTTCTATTCCGTCCACAACCATTTGAACCATTAAATTTAACCGCTTTTTAATGAACAATAAATGTTCCGAATCCAGCATTTTTGTTTGCTTTGTGAATAGGTTATGAGTACAAAAGCTTGACTATCTCCAAAGACTTCATTTCGAGATCTCAGTTACACCATGCTTACGCATTTTTTTAATCTTGCATGGTTGCACGTGATTATATTTATGCATTTATATTAGACAGTTACGATGATCATCAGATGCCCAAAATAAAATCTTCACTGACGGTCATACTCTTATCTGCGCAATCAGTAGAGCTATGGATTGTGAGCGAATCAATCAAACTTAAGATCAAATGTCGTGTATTTCGGAGA